ATGGGAGCATGGGGGACTATTCATCGCATTATATTTGCCTTCAAATCTCAGATCAGTTATTTATGTATTTATTTAGTCCCACAATGATCATTATTATGCCACCATTCCAAAAAAACAAAACAAAAAAACCATATCACAGCTAATGCATCTGTCAGATCGTCTGTATTTATGTTTGTGTGTCAGATGGTGAGGTATTCAGTTGTTACTACAACACTAAGGGCAAGGAATATGGCAGGCAGATGGATTGCTTCAATGGTGTAGTTAAATATCATTTGTAATGAAAGAGGATTTACAACTTCTGCTGCTGAACATTTCAGCTGTTGGTTGGCAAATGTAAGAGTTACATTTTCTGAGCAGTGAAGAGTGTTGGACTATCACTATCGTCTTAGAAGATTTAAAGATCTACTCAGCAGACACCCTGCTGTAATCTTGGTTGTCGATAACCATCCACTCTCATCACATGTAATTCAGATGCAAACATGTGTGGATGGATATGAGAAAGAGCCATTTCAAAACAAGCAACTATTGCTTAACTTGTTTTCAAAATCTTAATCTGGAAGTGAAGATGCTCACATTAGAGCACTGGGTCCTGCTTATAGGAATTCAGAGAAGGGGCAGCCAATCACAGGAGGGCAGGATTTTTTTTTTTTTTGGTTTTTTTACTTCTCTAATGGAATCCAGATATAACAATATAGAGCTGGAAATTAGTGTTTAGTAAGGCTGTTAAAAACAGCGCCTCTCGATTTACACTCAAGGCAATAGATTCTCCCATGTCATCAAACCCTTAGATTTAATACTGCTGCTATAGATAAAATATTCCATCTGTACTGTATGCTGAGTATCCGTTTAAACCACAGGGAGAAGTGAATTGCCCTGCCATTCCACTCGCCCAGGTAATCAGACCCCAAATTGAAAATATCCAGCTGCCAATTTCAGTCCAGTTTCAATATTCCCTGCCTGCCAGTGTGATGTCGCATTTCCTGCAGGCTGTAAAGGTGGAGACAATATAAGTGGCTTATGAATGAAATTTGAATTTCATGGCCCAATATCATTTAGAGTCAGTAATTGAGCAATATGTGTCCTCTATAAAATGTCTTCTGCTTATTCTGATTTGACTGGTGAAGCAGCTGGGTCATCACAATGGCATCAAATAACAGAACCATACATGTGTCTCCATCAACTATCGTATTGCCCCTTCTTTGCAGACACTAAGGTCTAACCAACTGTATCTAGGAAAATGAATAAAAAAAAAACAAGATTGAAAAATATCCCAGAGGATTTACCACTGAGCCCCTGTTAGACGTTGTATATTTTTGAAAGAAATTCCCCTCAATTTTTAATGGAAACAGGTTATAGAGGTATAGCAGTGTGCTCTAGAGGAGGGTCGGCTGCTAATGTGCTATTTATTTGACAAGTCTTTTAAAAAAAGGGGGAAACAAAATACAGGAAGGCTTCAGACAGTTAAACATTTTAATATTTTAAACAAGAACGTGAAAAAAAAGGTGAGTAAACCCTAGCCTAACCCTAACCCAGTTTAAGTACTTTAAGTGTGTCGCAGTCTTCATAAGCCACACCTGCAAGTCCTTGTCCTCAGCTGTTTCTGAGGGAAATTTCTCCTGAAACTTGAAGTGTTTTGAAAGTTCTTTAAAGGTTTGTTTTTCTCAGGCTATGAGACAGCTCCTTTTTTTATATGCTGGATTTGCTTTTCAAATTGAAAATTTTATTGTGTGGCATTTCTGTGTGTGTAATACCTGAACCAAATTCAGTGCTGAATAGAGGTCCCAAACTTCTTTTTTTTTTTTTGCTTTGGCTTTTCTCTAATTCAGAAAGCAACACCAGCAGGGCTGAAGAGTTTTGATTGCCCTTTCAATACAAACCCAAGCAGACATTACCTAAACAACAGTATATCGAGCATTTTTACTAAAGTATTTTCAGCCAAAGAAGCATTTATTGCTTCATCACAACAAAAAATGTTTATAGAAAATAATTAGCATAAAAAAAGAAACAAAAAAAACCCTAACGATTTAGTAACTGGTACTAACAACTTCTCATCATAATTTATATTGAAGCTGGACTATAATAGTCTGTGAGGGTAAGGCTCGTTGTATGAGCACCTGGAATTGAGAGGGCAGGAACACTTCCAGGCATCTTGGCAGCACTGGCAAGCTCTCCACCATGAAGGATTACTGAAATAAGGCATAAGGATGTCCCTGTGATGTCTTGGATATTGCCTCCCGCTGGTGCTTAGCACAGCCTCGTCAGTCACATTTGTGATTACCTCTGAGCTGTACCCAATCATAATTAAGGTGATGACATTCTCACTAATGCACGGCTGACGATGAGCTATGCTGCTGAATTTTGGACACGACGGGAAGAAGAAAACTTTTGCAGAAGAGCATAAAAAGCATGAGGCAAGCAATTCGTTTAGTGAGACGAAAAAGAAAATGCAACAAGACTATTAAAGGCTATTGTTCGGTGCGTGCTAAAGAAAGGCGATTTGATGAGGGAAAAGGTGCAAGGAGCTGCTTCAGATGTGACCACTGTGTCTCCAGGGGGGTGATTTCTATTTCATTTCTTCCTCACCAGCTGAATAATCTCAGTCTGCAGCACCTAATAGGAGTTCATAATTAAAACCAGATATATAGAGAAGTAGGATGAACATGAAGTACTCTCTGGAGAATGGAAAGTCTGAACATGATGCTAAAATAAAGATGAAAACAAGACTGTTGTACTACATCTTTTAGTAGCCACAGTGAATGCTTTGTGGCAAAAATACATACATTGAAAAAAAGCTCTTAATAGTTTCACTCCACCTTTTCTCTAATGATTTTGTCCCTCTTTGACTTTACTGAGGAGAATAAAGACAATAAACATGATTTATCACTGTGCACATGAATTGACTTGTTCTATAAAGCTATGAAGTAATACAGTAGTTCTTCTTTAAAATCTGACTCAAAACAGCATAGAGCCCACAATCAGCTCCTACTCTCTACAATTGTCTAGTTAATGTGGGAGGAATTCAAAGTAATGACAAATTACTCAAACTCTTTTTTTCCTAGTGCTGAAGGAAACAAATTTCAGCACTGTAATCATTCAGCCAAACACAACGAATTCATGTACGATTATTTTTATGACAGTGACTTTTAGTGTTCAAATGTCAAAGCATGAAACATGGTGTGAATGCTGGAACACATAATCACAGCAGATGCATCACTAGTTCAAACAGTTGGGACTGAACACTACCCAATGTATAAAAACTGAGAAAAACTAATGGGTTCCAAGGTGCAGCTGGGCAGGCAGGCAGGTGAACCTAATCAGGTGATGAAGTGAGAGACTAATGATACAACCCGGCATAAATGGAGATGTCCATGCACGTTCCTATCAAAAACCTATGCTCTAACTTTCAGTTACACACGCTCATCACCCCTCAAGTCACTGGTTAGACTTAAAAAAGAAAGATGCCGGAGGGTTGACATGGTAATTATTTCTTCTGTAGTCTTTAAAAGAATCCCCACTTAAACACTGTGTGTAAATATATTGTGCAGGTAGATGCTTACAAAGATGCAGGGACACATGTTTGCATGTTTAAATATGGCCATAAATCACTTGTGTGGTGCATATTTATGCTGTTGCAGATGACAGCAGCTTTAAATTATTTCCTTTTTATGGGTTTAGATTCTGCTGCTAATAATAAAATCATCATTTTTATCAGTGGTTTACTTTATTTTGCTGTTGTGGTGGAAACACCACACCAAGCTGTTTCGTTATCAGTACTAATGGCTGTTTCCTTAAACTCTCTAAAGTTACATAAATACATAAATACAACTTATGGCTTTACAGTTTATGTTCAACTAACTCTTGAATTCTTAGGGAGGGGAGGGGAGGGGTTCAAATCCTTTTTTAAAAAAATGCAGTAATATGCAAGCTTATGTTTAGGGTATCGTTTACGCATCTGCTTCTGCATACAGTGCATAATTTCCACCCTCTAAAGGTTTTCTATTTCCTCCTCTCCATGAACCATGCAGCAACCACTGCAGCTTGTTGTTTCCTGAATGTAAAGTAGAGCAGAATAAGCATGTTGTATCACAGAAACTGTGTCTCTCAAGTAACCGGGTTCTTATCTGTTTAATGCACCACTCCCTAAATAATTTCTCACCAGGAAAGAAATATTAAATCACACAACAATGTTATTTTAAAAACCAGTCAGGCATATACAATGACAATTAGAAGTAAGAGGTTACAATTAAAATGATGTTATTGATTTTCATGTATACTTGACTTGGAGTTAAAAACCATTAAAAAAAAAACCTCATTTCCGAATGTAGACAGGGCTAACCTTTAATTCTCTGCCAGAGGGTTTCCTGATCAGGACATGTGGTGCATAATAATCTATACTCATTGGACTTTGCAACACTGTCAGATGATCCCCCATCCCTCTTTTGGTCACTGACTGCCACTATGTGGTCATAAATATTTAACACAGTTCTGCTGCAATTCAGTTTACACTCTTTTACTGTACAAGGTTTAAAAAATTTGATTCCTGCAACCCACTTATCAGATTGTAATACGACATCCTGTAGCCATGACTGAGATAAATTAGAAACCTTTTTTTATTGACGTATCACAGTCCTCCCAGAAATAGGCTGAAATATACCTGGGGAGAGACTCAACTTTTCTTGTGGGCAAGAAGGTAATCTGCCTCGGCAAAATAATTCCGTTCCACCAACACTACAGGCTCCATCATCCATCATCATTAAGAAAGGAAAGGGAAAAACGGAAACACTATAATACTGATGAAAGCAGCCACAAGCACTGTACTGCCTTGTATTTCTGATCTAATTTTATTGTTTGATGGCGTGTTTTACCTTATTCCCCTGTAAATGTGTCACTCCATGACAGTTTGGCTGACATGGCATCAAGTTTTGACATTGAGGCTTGGGCTAAAATGTTGTTTTTCATCTTTTAAAAACATCAGTAAATGTCAGAATGTGGCATCAGAGTTAGTATGTGATTTTTATTTTATTTTTCAAAGGTCTGTCATTTTATACACCATCAAAAGCCATACAGAAAGATCTAGAGCACCCAAATTTCAGCACAACAGTGGCCTAAAAAGTTCTGAATTCTATGCAGTCATAATAAACGCAGACCCGCAGAGCAGAGTTTTACAAAATAGGTGGTTTCTAAATGCTTTCTTTTAAATAATAAATGAATGCTCACACTCATGCTTTGGCAGCTGTTGAAGATTTTCTGGAAAGTTTCAAATATGTGGTTCCTACAACACTAGATTTGATACCTATGTTATTAGGAAAGGATGGATGTTTGCTTTAATTGTAGATATCCTGGGTGGCTGACACTGGCAGCACACTGCGGTGATAAGAAAGCCCATATACTGGGCTCATCCCTGTGTGGTGGAAGCTGTCCATCTTGCCAAGCTGCCGCAGATGGAAGAGCAGGGTGAGCTTTCGGGTCATGGTTCTAAGTGCCAAGAAGGAGGCCAGGATCTGGGCGAGCAGGAAGAGGAGATAGAGGGAGTGGACAGCTCTCTCCAGAGGCAGGATGATAATTCCTTCATCGGTCAGGAAGAACAGCAGCACTGGCAGCTGGAACATGAAAGACAGGAGCCAGAAGGCTGCCAGCTCTGGCACCTGATGACAGGGAGGAAAAGAGAGAAAATTTGGGTTGGCGCGCACAAACGATGAAAAGATGCAGCAGTCATCCATCAAGTGCTCTGGTTGAATCCACATGAAAGCAAAGACACACATTCACTAAAACTCAGTAGGCACTTGTAGCCACAAGCAGGTAGAAAACTCTGCAGTTTCCTCCTGTGTTTTTTCAGGGTTCATAAAAGAGCTTCATGTAGTTCAGTGCAAGATATAAATTTGAAATACCTTTTCTTTGAGGTTGCCAGTGTAGCCCAGATAAAGTCGAACCACTTCGATGACCGTTAGTAGGATCATCCCAGTAATGAGCAGAGCTTGATAGTACCCAGGAAGATAGTAGAACATGCACGGATGCTTGGCTGTAATTAATGAGCATGATCAAGGAGTGTGTGTGTGTGTGTGTGTGTGTGTGTGTGTGTGTGTGTGTGTGTGTGTGTACACACAGGCATGTTAGATTTTTATGTAAACTTTTTTTTCCAAAATATTGATGAAACAAGTTTTATTTTTCAAAAAGACAGTGGATGTTGAGTTCACTGCTTGTGCCTCTTCTGAGCTCATGTGAGGAGGCTTAGTGTTCATTTTGAAGACACCACTAGATGGAGCCAAAGTCAAACGTTTTCCAATTGATACACTGGGCTTAGTAAATAGATTCGGTTCATCAAAACCTGAACTGTTGACTTCAAGAGGAATACTTCTATTCTCTTGTGTGTGTTTGGCACTAACCTTTACTTCCAGCATGAACACAGCTGAAAACCACCAACAGGGAAAATAAAACATATTGAAATACAGGAGCATTTGAAGGGGGAGGTGAGAAACCAGCTCGTTGACCACTGCAAGACAAATAACAGTGCACAAAACATTAAGTTGAAAAACTGAAGTGAAATTTGACCAAACGAAGAAAAACCTTTAATAGCTGACGTTACAACAGATCTAAAAAGAAGCAATCTGCGCACTGTGATGTACTTGAGAATTAAGTCACAAGATGTCTTGTCCAATCTCTGATCTCTGCCTTTACATTCTCCAGTACGAGATAGCATTGTGCTGTATAGTAAACATATTAAACTAAAGTTCCAAACAGTCTTTGGAAGCACAAACTAACCAGATGCATCCTCTTGCTCCCTGGTGAAGTCACTGTCTGCTGTCCTGTTGTTTGTGAACACAGAACCTCCCATAGACACCAGACCCAGCGGCAGGTTTTCGGGAACAGGCGAGTAAAACACAGGCATTGTTGACAGAGGTGGTGATCATGACAGAGCCAAGGAGTCAGGAGGTTTACAGTTCCAAAAATATGTTTTCAGTATCCGTTGCTCATTTTTGTCTTAAGTTAATCAATCGCACAATACCAGGCTAGAAGAGATACAAGTGGACACATAAAGGCACATGCTGGCAGACGCTACTGCTAATCTGATTATTGTAAAGGAGGCGGGCTGAAGATTAGCCTGAAACAGTTGCATGCTTACTTGAAGTTAGTGTCCATCTAGGATGATAATTTCATTTTCTAATTAGGGAATTCAGCAGATACTTAAACTTTATAGAGATAAAGTTGCACGTACTCTTTGCAGTATGTTTGAAAATTCTACATTCTTTGTACACATATTTAAAGCGAAGGTTCACTCTGGCAGGTTTTGGTGTATTTTATAGTCTTTTTTTTATTTAAATTCTGCAGATAAACACAATGACATAACACTGCTCAATGCACCCGGCCAGCGAGTCATCAGAGTGGTGCCTGGCTTATTTTGGCCTTTGGGCCTCACTCGTCATTATTGTGACCATGGTGCAGAGACAGAGTTTGGCCACAAGGTGTCATCACAGCTCGTCCCTGGGGGCGCGCAGGGGAAAATGCTGAAACTCCTCTGGCACCTCTTCCCCTTTCTTGGACCTCTTGTAGAAGCCGAGTGAGTCTAACAAGCTGCTGATCTCGTCTGCCTTCATTTTCTTCACAGAAACAGTCTGATCCACACACACATACACATACACAGGAGGGCAGACATGTTTGGTTCACAACGTGGTTAAAGGCAGTAATGCTTGTATATTAGCTGTATATGTAGATATAACATGATTTACTAAACCCCTGTTTTTACTTGGAAGTGTTTAGCCACTACAGATTTAGAGGATCTAGCTATTTTTTTGTTTCTCCTTACCTAAAGTCAAATTATAATCTCCCAGAGAAGCCACATTAGAAAAACTTTAGCCTCTAAATGAAGCTTTAGATGGAAAATTTAAAAGGCTTTACTCAAGAAAGCAGTAATACCTGGCTCTTTTTCGATGTAGGCCAGCATTAAGAAAATTCATTTTTATTGGTTTTAATGGAGAGGCTAATTGGGCAATAACTGCAACGGGGGTTTTCTACCCTGGAAAAATAAATGACATGTGAGAAGTGCTTTCAAGGCACACAATTTTCAAAGTCACATCAACTCTCCTGTCTCGGTACAAAAAATATTGCTCCATTCTCAGAATTCCCAAGTTCATATACTGTATGTATTTATTTTTAACTCTCATTCAAGTACATCCTCTTTCTTGGTATCTGACAGATGATCTGATATCACATGAAGTAATATCGAAACTTTCCCACATGAATCCTGTTTGACATCTCTTGATAAGCTCCATCACAAGGCAGCGGAATAAAAGGTCCCTGTACTCACTTCTCACCTTAACAATCTCATCCTTTTCATTGTAGAATATCAGACGGGGTTTCTTCTCTTCCGATGAATCATATTCCAAGTTGTGGCTACACAGGAAAAAGCAGATCAAGGAAAACAGGTAGGAGGGGTTGTGAAGAACAAGGCATATCCATCTGTTTCGCTATTTTTAGGCTCACTTAACATGATTTTTTTTACTTGGAATGCTCACAGAGCTGGCACTGAACTTGGCAGCTTGCTAGGAATACTGTTTTGTTTACAAAAGAGGTCATGAGAAAATCAGTAGTGATTTTTGTGGAAAGCTCACAGCTTAGCAAAGAATCCTGAGGAACATGAAAACAATACAAGGATACTATAAAGCCATTCGCTCCATGAGAAAATGATAGAGCTCAGGCATTTTCTTTATGCTTCATCCGACCACACTGGGAGCCTGCAGGGATGACAAGAGACATTTGTTAAAACAGCATGACAAAGAGGAGTGTACATATCTCATTCTTTATGTGATCAAAGGTGACAAAAAAGGTGTCACATTACAGCAGAAAATAAACTGCCATGACAGCACAAGACCTATCCATCACCATGCACACTATTTCCTCACTTGTTTTTTGAATATTATGTGTAGATTTAATTTTTCACTTCACAGGAGTTTGCTCTATACTTACCAGCAGTTTAGCTCTGGCTATAACGAGCTTTTCTTCACCTACTGTGTCATTGTTAGCTTCGGATAGCCTAAGAGCGAGGGTAAGAGTAAGCACCAAGAAGGTCCACATTTTTACTAGATGGCAAAATCTTTAGCTCCTTTTTCTGAGTTGAAGCACTGATAAGTGACCCTTTAATACTCTTGGACAGTTTTTTCAGGGTGGACAAGACCATGGCCACCTCTGTAGGGGAGCAATGCACACCTGGGCTGAGCTGTTAATCTCACTTTTGTGATTTTCTGTCATAGATTGTGTGTTAGTATAAGAATTAGGCTGGTAGCTTACCAAGTAGGTAACCACCACATACTTATTCAGCAACAGAGTTAGCTGTTAGGGTGTTTTTCTATATGTCAAAGGGGCCCCCAGGTTTATATTTTATAGTTTCTTCCAGATCAGATGTCATTGGGGGAACACAGAACATCTGCACTCTTATCATTTTTTCCCATGCAGTAAACTTGCAGGTGGTTAATGGTCACAGAGAACCACATGTTACTACTGACTCACTCCCCCAATACAGCTAAACTGGTTCATGACTAAAAACTTCATGAAACCATCTGCCATCGCAGAAATAAGAACATGACAATGTTAGCCTATGATCACATTCACATCTATGGGCAATTTCAAATAACTGATAACCCCAACTTGCACTTCTTTGACTTGTAAGAGAAAAAAAACCCCACCGAAACACACAGAAAGGCCTCCACATGTCACATTTTTCCAAGTAATGTAGCTTTATAATTACATTTACATAGAAGACGAATATAACCGCTAATACAGTAAAATATTAGAAAGATCACTGAGTGTACAGAACATTTCAATGCCAAATATTGAGTATATTTGCTACAGATACAGTACAACTTTTTGCACTATTTGGGGGCAGCAGCAAAAATTCTGATACTGACAAAGCATCCATCCATTCAATCTGATGTGTAAAAGGTTTCACAATGCAACTGTCTATGCATAGGTTCAAACGACACAGAGAAAAATTCTAATTTACAGCATGTAAAAGAAGTATTGAAAACATCACCAATTTTCTGAGTAAATATATTTCTAAAGCTGCTATTGGCATGAAGTTCTCATCGACTGTCATTAACAACCCATCAAATCCACACATGCAAAGAAATCAAATCATAGTTGTCTAGAAATTATGTCTAATAATGAGAAAAGATGCAGGGAAAACATATTGAATACATTTACTGAAATGTATTTCATACTTTGTACAAAAGCCTTTGTTGGTGATGACAGCTTCCTGTAAGAAGAAGCTACATTGTTTGCCTACTGTATATGAAGCTGCATTGCTCAGGTGTGACACTGGCCCATTCTTTCACACAAAAACAGTCTGCATGGGATTTGGTAATGTGTTCAATGCTCATTATACCTGCTGTATATGCAGTTTTAGCCACTTTGGGATTGTATGGAGTCTTAATACATCCTTTTATCTGTGACAGGCAGAGTAGCTGCCTTACCCTACTTCCAGTCATTGTACTAAGCTAAACTATCACCGTTCAGTTCTGGAGCTTTACTGCACAGACATGACGGTGTTAGGGATCTTCACATGTAACTCTCACCAAAAAAGCTATTAAGTATATTTTCTAAAACATCAGACTAATCCATTAAGTCTCAGCGATATCCTTTTATTCCGCATTGTTTAGGACTTTGAACAGAATGTTTCTCTTGACACACATTTGTTAAGTCATATTTTGTAAATCCTGCAGTTATGTACTTGAACAAAACACTAGCTCTATTCTGATCCATGAAAGCAGTATATGGCTTGTTCCCACTGTTTTTTCATTCTGACTTTCCTTTTTCTAACTTTCTTTCTATGCAATGTTTAATTCCATTGTGCTCTCTCAATGAAATCAGGCCTTGTGACAGCATAGCACATTTGCACTGTGTCAACACCCTGGGGGGAAGAAAACATCTCGGCCCTCCAAGTTTACTCTACTGCTTTGTATTGTGCAAAACTCCAATTCATTAGGTCACCATAAGAGGGCGGTAACACCCACATGTACACTTCCTGGCAGTTTGGCGGGTAACGTGTACTTCCAAATCCTAGCCACAGACAATTATGTTTCCAACAAAAATAAACCATTCCTGCCTGGAATGCTGAAGCGAAAACCATCTTGCTGTCTCTGTCTTTTCCAGACACAGAGCGGTGCAGCTCAGAGTCTTGCGCTCTGCATGTACTGTTTGGGATTATGTGTCAAACGGCAATAAAACAGTCCTCTTTTTTAACAGGGTTTCCTCCCCTTGGCAGCTGTTGTAAATCTACAGGCTTGTACACTTGTTTTACGTCTGCATCTTTGTATCGTACTGTTCCAGGTCTCTCTTTCACAATGAAAGTTGGACCCAAAAGAAGTGAATGAGAAATAAGAATTTTGACAAAAAGGATGGCTTACATGAAAAAGAGAGAGAGAGAAAAGCACACAATGAGCGGTGGGGGTGGGGAGAGCTTGCCGAGGCTGACTCCTCAGTCTATACGTGTGGATGCATACCATATGTGTTCACAATCAGCATGTTTCAGCTTACATCACATGGTGCATGCCAAAAGGGGGCTGTTGTTATTATTACTCTGCTGACAAAGGGGAAATACAGTCATTAATAACTGGAAGGTTATGGAGCTTAGACGGGAGATGATGAAAACATTTACAAAGTTCGCACTGAGCAACTTTTTCCAGTAGGAGTTTTAAAAATTGCAACACTAGCAGCTGTTAAAAGATCAAAAGCTACAACACCTCACTGCAATCCTCCCTCCTTCAGAGAGCTTGTTATAAAGATACACACTTCCTTTTTCTCCAAAGCACCGGATGCTGCCTACCAGCCGGCAACCAACAATTACTCTGTGTGTCTGTTCTCTTATGATGTGGACAATTATTTGTGGGTGTTTGTGAGAAATGTTTGACTCTTGTGTCTCCTCTGTGCTCCAATGTTAATATCTATAAGTATGTTCAAGAATAAGCAAAGTCGATGGTTAAAAATGTATCTTGATTAAGTTCTAAACGTTTAGCTCTGTCTTTTCTTGCTC